AATTGGCCATTTTGTGGTGGAAGCACAGAATATCTATGGTATACGTCTTAAAATAAGCTTAACAAAATTGGGGAGGAAACATAACAAACCCGTCCCCACCCTGAAAATCTTTGTTCCACCCATGTCTGTGATGTGGTGCCACATCCAATTTATAGCACAAGGGTTTTCCCCCCTTCCCAAAACAATGTTCCACATGCCCTTCCCCTGTCACCAAAAACCGGCCCATCCCTCCTTTAGAGGCTGAAGGCAGGAATTTGAGATTGGAGGAAACTGCCCTTTGCTTAAGCTCAGAGTCCTGCTCTTGACTGACGTCCACCCTGCCATTCTTAAGTGCCAGAGCTAAATTTTATGTACAACTTAGATCCAGAAGGTACCATCTACTTAAATGAATATGTTGTTAACGATATTCATGTTACTGATAACTTGCTTACTAGTTATGGATTATTAGCTCATTGATGATTAATGCCCATGCCAATTGTTTATTTGTGTGGTAAAGTGTGAGGTTTGAGACAGCTATGAAGTTGTGTCTTCTGGTCTGGCAGCCCTTATCCAAGGGATAATTCATTGGACAGCACATAAGCATTTGGTCCATGGTCAGAGTTAATTTGGCTGAAGTTCTAAAATAGGAATGGTCAGTGCTGCTTTTTTAGTCTTGAGGTTGTTGATCTCCACAATTCAGAGCAATTTTCTTGGCATTTGCCAGGTTTGTAATTTGAATTTCCTCCTTTGTTATTTCAGCATCTGCAAAATATAGAGTTTTTCCTTCTCTTTCTCTCTCTCTCTCTTTTTAAGCAAGTTGCATCCCAGTGACGGTGGGGTGGGAAAGGCTTCCAACTTATTTTTAGCAGCCAATCAAAACATTTTCCAAGATGAAGGAGGGAGAAAACACACAGAGACCTTTGGTGGCGTGTAAGACACGCCAGTTGAAGACAGTGTGACCTTTGAGGTGGTTCTGCTAGAAGCAACGGACGGCTGGCGATGCATTTGGCCATGCCCGGATAGTCGTGCCCTGAGCTTCTGGGCGCCCCTTCGGTGTGGGTTTAGCCTGGCGAGATGGGGACCTCTGGCTGCCTGGCCGGCCGCCTCCTGCTCCTGCTGCTACCAGGTGGGCTGGTGTGAGAGCTTTCCAAATCCATCTGAGAAGAGCTGGGGGAGGAGGGGCCACCTTGCTCTTGAAAATGGAGCCCCCGGTTGGAGGAAGCTGGGGGGGGCAAGGCTGTCAGTTTCAGCATCTCCAGTTTCTCATTTTGGGGGTACAGTATGCATCTTTTGTTTTTTTGCAAATCAATCAAATTCAAACTTGAGAATGTATTTTCTTTAAACCTTTGCAGTAAATTTGTACATGCTTTTGTTTGCTATTTTGCTTAGTGTGCAATAGTACAGGAAAAATTATTTCGTAAATCTAATATCTTTTGGCTCATTCTTTTAATAAATACAGTCATTTTGTACAGACGTTTCCCCTAATACACAAATGTACAATTCGATTAGCTTTCATTTCCAGAAAACCAAGCATTTCCCCCTCATTGCCATGGCTTCCTGGGCCTTGGCTGGGAGATCGAGCTGAGCCTGGTGGCCATGGTCCGCCAGGAATGACTCTGACTGGAAGAAACCATCTGGCCAGCCGTTGAAAGAAACCTCAAAATTACTGCACCTTCTCCTTTGACTTGGCCTTCGGGAGCTTGTGAAGTCTTTTCAATCCAACCCTAAAGTGAAAATGGGTGGCATTTGGGGACGCCGGGCAAATGGAAGATAATCAGGTTTTGGTGGAGAGTAACCACCTGGCACACTCCAGCAACGGAGGGCCCATTTTTTTGATTTCACTCTAAAAAGAGCCCCTGATCAGCTCAGGAAGGACAGGTCAGTCTGCTCATAACTGGTGGAATCTCCTGCTCAGAAAGACTCGGTCTTGCCACCTGCAGGGGCACCTGCGATGGGCTCCCCTCTCCAAGCTTCGGCTGGACCTTCCTGGCTAGTGAAAACCCAATACTTTTCTTTGGGGCTAGGACAAACCTGGTTTGTTCATAGACTGGTCTACCTTATTGAGTTATTCTAAGGATTACAAAACAACATCAGGGAAATGCTTTATTGCTGGAAAAAGTTCACGGTTTTAGAAATCCTTGATGATTCTCTAGACTTTATGGTTTATTGCTGCTCTTCCAAAGTGTTTTTTCGTTGTTTGTTCTTGTGTTTTTATGTAAGATTAAGAGTATATATGTAAGGAGTGTGTTTAACATATTGCTGAATGTGTCTGTTTCTGGGCTTGAATAACCCTCTAGCAATGACAAGTTATTTCTTTTTCTTTTTCTTTTTAATATATAGCCTGGTGTAAATAAAACAAAACAAAACAAAACAAAATGTGCTATTTTTTCTGGGCTCGGAAGCTAAACAAAGTTGGGTCTCATTAAGATTTGGATGGGAGACCACAAGGAAATCCCAGGACTGAGAATTCTCAGACAGCAACCTAGTCTGAGAATAAGAAAAAGCATCCTGGAATAATGAAATGGCAAACCATGTCTGCACTATTGCCAAGAAAACACATGGATGTGACCATAAAGCCACTAGAATTCAAGAACAACTGAAAGGAGAATTTATTTACTTTAAATGAAATACAGGGTCCTCAAAACCCTGCAAAAAAACTACTCTGCTGGAGCAAACAGGCTTGGGCCCAGACCTGCTGCCTGCCCGAGGTCTCGGGATGCAGATGCCCTAATTTTTTTGATAGCATTGACACCAGTGAATCTGGAGGTTGGCAGAGTGGGGGAAGCTGGTCCTGCCCGCACCTGGGTGGAAGATGGGAGGAGCTCTCCAGGGCCGGGAAGGCGACTTGCGAGTAATGGCGTGAGAAATAATCCCAAGCCCCTTGCCGCTCTGAGGCAAGGAGCAGTCAGCCCACGCCTCTGTTTTACTGAGGACGCTGCGCCTGGTGAGATCCCGTGCTTGCAGGGCGGCAGCGCCTGGCCCGGTTTCCCTGCAGACGCGCGCACTTTTCCAGCCTCCGCTTTCTGTCACAGCGACTGACTCTATTGTACTCAGCACCCCTGCCTGAGGCATTTTCCTTTTAAGCCTGATACGGTCTGTGCACCAGTAATTTAACTGGAAGTATCAGGAATGATGAGCTGTGCAACTGACAAGTCAACAGCGCAAGTGCAGGAATGCCAGAACTACATATAGAATTTGTGTCCTATTTCTCAGGACTAAAAAGATTTTCTGATATTAGAGATTAGTGTCTGACCACTACAAATAAGTAAAGTCTCCTTTGAGCCAAGCTCAACTCCCAGTGAATTCATGGATCTGTGTCTGTAGTTTTCTTGGCAGTAACAAAGAATTGGTTTGCTGTTACGTCCATAGTGCTTTTTGTTTTTCATTTCCCAGTCTACCCTTTAGCTCTCAGATCTCCTGGTGGTCTTCCATCCAAATATTAACTAGATCTGATCTTGCTTAGTTTTTTGAGATCAGTTAAAGCCAGCTGGGTGCTACTAAGCATCTTTTCCTTTGGATGTCCCTTGAGAAAACGCTGGAATTTGCTCACCTAGAAAAGAGGGGTTGCTGTGCTAAGACAGAAGACCCCCATGGAGCGTTTGGTGAAACCTAAGCACTTGGTGAAGGAGGGCAGTAGCATGAATGTCTTCTGAATCTGGATCTAGATGTGGCAAATGCAAGATCAAAACCAGGGATATCTGAATACCTGCATTTTGTGAACCTTTAATTCAGCCATGCTGGAAACTATTGTATAGGAGTTGTAGTCCTTCGCCTCCGGTGAATACTAGAGGAAGGCTGGTGTCCTCTTCCTCCCCTGATCTGGCCACACCTATGCATCTGCCCATAACCTGGTCCATGGGTTTAATATCCCAAAGTCCACAGTAAAAGGTCACCAATTTAATCCAGAGTCTACTCATCCAAATAAAATGAAGTGGAGCAAGATTAGCTATGGATAGTTGAAAGAATTACTTATTTACAGTAAGAAAAGCAGCAACCATATGACAACCATCACCTCCCTAGATTATAATGCTCAACAAAAGAAAAGCAGGAGGGGATTTCTTTCTTTCAAAAAAGAAAACAAATAAATCGGCTCCAGTTGACGTGTCTCGGGCTTCTCTGAAAACAAACAGGACAAGAGTATCTGGGCCTCAGATCTCCCCCCTCCATCTTCAACAAGGTTGTTTGTAATGGAAGATTTGCACAAGCTGGGCAGGCTAAATGGAAGCAAAGCTTGTTTTCTTTGAATTTAAAATGTATGTGCTAACTGTGTCACAGGAAGTAAGCATGCCTTATATCCACTGCAAACGTCTGGATAACCACCAGATGTCAGCAAAGAGACTCCAAAAATCTCTAGCTCCTGGCTGTCATCTAGTGACTGTCCAGAATTTTGCAGCCCAGATACACAATATTTTTATTAATGCTGTCCTCCTGCTATAGTGGAAGTAGGCAATGCCCACACTCTGTTTTTCTAGCCTGGGGCCCTGAGAATCCCACTACTGAAATAAGGTGGCAAACACCTGTATAACTTCAGTGATTTTGTTTCAGAGTTTAAGAAAAATGCGTGCATTAAATCTCTGATAGACTTAGTGCACCTTTAAAAATCTTTGTAAAAATGATAGGCCTTGTTTGATCCCCAGAAGCTTGGTGGGGTCAAAGCTAAACCAGCAAATCAAAGAAAATGTCCAGGAAGAAGGCAATGGCCGACCGCTTCAATAAACTGTCACGTAGTCGCCAAGAACCAAACTCAACTTTGACTTGGTCTCACCTGGTGGCGAGAAGAAGAAGAGCCTAGACACCTGCACCCAGGGGTGTCTGCGGGGCATGGTAAAAAATGTCAAGATGGCGGCCAGAATGGTGCAACTGAAGCTCGCCTGCTTTTTATGTGTGATGTAAACGTAAAACAGGCAGAGCCGTCACACTGCGGTGGCCGCTACCTTGACTCTTCTGACCATTTCTGCAGACACCCCTGGATGTGCCCTGTTCTGTCCCTTCCGGGTGTGGCCTTCACGGTTCCACAATTATTTTCCAGCTAACATGGCTCCCCTTTGTCTCAGCTCCACCATTTTCAGATTTTTTTGGCATTTGGAGATGGGAATAGGTAAACATGCAAGCCTTACACTAGACCCCACAGTTGGAAACTCAGACAAAATCTCAACTCCTTTCCCAATCCAGGCCCCCCTTCAGGTCATCTGGCACCACCCACTTGGTAGCCCTCATCTCTCCCTCCACCAACATTCAGTGTGGCCCCTGAATGTCCAAATGATGAGCACACGCCTAATTTGCAGCAACGTTTGTCAAACAGATTTGGTAGGTTATTCCCTCTGATTAGGAGCTGGGGGTAGATTTTATGCTGACCCAGTTTTACTTCGGGGGATATGCATGAGTGCAGCGGAATGTCCTTTCCATTAACTATCCCTTTCCAAACACGCCTCAAGGCAAAGGCAACACACTTTTTTTCTGAGCAAGCTCCGTTTCTATGTGTAGGATTCTGAGTGTGGGCGGGCAGGATCCTTTCCCACTGATGTGCGTCTTTGTGCTGAAAACTCGGCTTTGGGGCACAAAACTCCATTTCCTTGTTGAATTTTAATTCAAGCCTTTGGCCACTGTTCCTAAAACCTGCTTTCCCTCTTGCCATCCAGCACCATGTTCCTTTGCTGTTCTGTGCTCTCCATTAATCTGCTTTCAGCCTGGCTTCCTCTGCCTTGTTCTTTAGTGGCGGAGAGGAACATTCAGACCTCTCTGGGCGGCTCAAAACAATTCCCAAGCTTGAAGCTTCCTGCAAGTTGCTTTTACCTTCTCTCCCTCTTGAATTTTGTGTTTCATTTCATCCCTGAGAGTCACCAAATTTTAGCTCCCACAATTGTTGACAATAAAAAAGGAGTCCTTGAGCATGCACAGAGATATTTTCTACCACTTAATGTGCCACTGTGAGAGTGGTAGCATTGGATGTCATCCATCTAGAAGACACTGGGTTGAGGAAGGCCAATTTACAGCATGATTAAAGTCTGGGGTTTGAGGAATTTCATTTGCAGGATGGCAGGCTGAGAAGGCAGAAAGATGCATTTCTGAACAGCCGCAGAGGGCCTCTGCTACCCTGTGGGTTTCCACAGTTTAAAAACATGACAAAAATGGTGACACTTGCATGGCACCTGTCATATTGCATTTGAGCCTTAGATTTCAACACCCCCCCCCCCCCCCGGGGATCTTTT